CAGGAAAAGAAAATGTGAAAACCTTGAAATGCAGAGTAGAATAACAAAAGAAAATAATTGATTAAAGACATAAAAATAAATGGAATACCAAACTGTGAAGCAAAAAGCTAACTGGAAACACAAAAAGGCCAGGCTTCCATAGAAACAGTAAAAACAAATTAGACAGAGAAAGGGAGGGGGATTTATTAAAGTAGACGCAAAAGCAACAGCAGAATAGAGTTAAATGAAGGAAAAACTATTTCAAATACAGACAGATTCTTGGCCCTAAGAAGAAAACTAAACCACGAGAAGAATAATAAAAACAGAAAACAATCTGGATAGGTTTTCAACTATTTATCAATTTTGCCCTCAGAAACCAGGACATCAGTAAACACTGATTCAACTTTTAAAAAGAATAAGAAGAAAAAAAAGACCAGAAGACAACTGGAAAGAAAAAAAGGACCGTGAGAGCAGCCACAATGGCTAGAACCTCGAATTGATGTGCTGATTTTAGGATCCCTTCTCTGTCCCTAACGACAAACTGTCCGGTTAAACAATTTCCAGCAAAAGAAATGAAAGCCAGAGTATAAAAAGGAACATTTCAAAATATAAATAATTGAATAGAAGCCTCTATGAAGCACAAGAAGGATGGGTAAGGAATCTGTTATCAGCACCTTAGGGGGTTAAAACCCTAGTGTTTGAAGTTCGTGAAGTAACACATAAAAGGAAATTAACCAAAAACAGAGATTAATATCTCACGATGAACACAGATTCAAGTAAACTTTTACAGACAAAATCAACTAAACCGTAACAAGTCAATGTAAAGGACTAATCAAATTAACATAACCATCAACATTTTGTTAAACCTATCATAAGCCAAATGCATCTCAACACTGAACCAGTACTCAGATTCAAGGTTAAATAAATAGTCCACATATGTCATATATCCAGCTAAGAGAACAAAAAATACACCATAGTAGAGGTCGCTTGGAGTCAAAACAGGGAAAATATGGAGTGAGAGTGGACCTTTCGATGGATTTTCGATTGGAGAAACAGACGACGAGCGAGAGAGCGGCATATGGCGGGTTTCCGCGTGGAAAGAGAGGGAGAGCAGTCTGAGTTGGGGAATGTTGTTTTTATTTCACAAAGAGAAATTGGAAGAATTTTATTAATAAATTTTTTACTTAAAAATTTTTAAACTTGATGCTTTATAATATAATAATTTTTGAATAAGTTATCTTTAGAAGAAATTCATAAATTTATATCATTTGTATTTAATTGAAAGAAGGTACATGTTGTATTAAGATACAATTTCATGTGAAATTATAATAATATATTATAAAATACTATAACAAATTCATAAATTTGTGTAATTTATTTGAAATTTATATTTAATTAAAAAATTGTATACAATTTGGAATGAAATTAGAATAATATATTATAAATTATACTAAAATTAATTTTTAATTTAAAAAAAAAAAAAGGGAAAAGTATTCTGATGGATTTTTTTACCGTTAATTATAATTATAATAATAATAATAATAATAAATAAATTACTTAGTTAATTATATTTCCCATAGTGAGTGATGATTTTAATCTCTAATAAGAGTAAATTTTATTTATATTTAAATTTCTCAAACCAATTGAGCAAATAAATGAGTGCAGTTAGTGGCGGTCTGAGTAGAAAGATGTTTCTTTAGTGCCTTAATGGTTATTTTCTTTGTTACTAAAAGTAAGTCGAGTATAAATTTTTGCAATTATGTGTATTAAAAAAAAAAAACAAACAAACTTAGTAAATATTTTTCTCTTCGTCTTATAATAAAATGTCTCATTTTAATTTTATTTATATTATTTAATTTTTATATCAAAGTTGAGATTGTAAAAGTGCTAAAAACACAATAGAATCATACAATATAAGCATTTGATTACTATTACATTGCATTTCCTTTTAAGCTTTTCATCTAATTTTTTAACCTTAATTATTTGATGTATAATATGAATTATGATTTCGACATAGTTGAATCAACTCCTTCTCATGTCTCAAATTACACAATGATGAATTTTTATTTCTGCCAACCAATGAGATAATCCACAAAATACCCAACTTACATTATTTTCCTTCAACTTTCTACTTTTTTTTTTCCTGGGTTATATTCATAATTTTATTCTAAAGTGATGATCATATAATAAATAATTCTTCATCATAATTTCCATAGCTTACACTACTTCAACAAAAGAAGAATCTAATGCAACATAAGCAAATTTAGCAACAATCAGAGACACAAGATAGATGCAGACTATTGATTTTTAAAATATGATAAAGGTGTCATTTTTAAAAAAAAAAAAAAGTAGGGAGTAAAGGTGATCAATAATACAAGTTTTCTCTATAATTGGTCAAATAAACGTAGTACAGTGAGTATTTCCTTAATTCAATGCACAATCAGTAGTAGCTTATGTAAATCTCAGCTATAGCATTACCACAGAATCTTCATCGGCCGTCGACTGGGTACGATGCCTGATTATTCTCTGCAAAATCACTGTCCTCGCCCTCCTTATACCACGGCTGCATTTATCAGCATGTCTACCTAAGTCTTCAATGGTTTCCATAAAGACGTCCAACTTCTTCTTGATCTCGTCTATTGCAAGCCTCACTGCGTCTTCTCTATTTGCAAACTCGGCCTTTTGCAACATGGACTCAATCTCAATTTCCAACTTGTTGACAAGCAACCGAATATTATCCATATCCTTGACTGTGATGTAAGTGCCAAGGTACAATGAGTTTAACAGCTCCTTCTGCCTCTGAACCTCTTTCTCATATCGTCTCCAAAGATAGTTGCACCATTTCCCCATAGTGCCAATTGGAACTGTCAAGGCTCCAGCTAACGCAGTCACCACAGGAGGTGCAGCAACAGCAGCTGCCACCACTGAGAAAATCAATACCGAAACAAAAGCTGCGACGAACAAGACATTCGTCACCTTCCTCCATGTCCCTAAAGACTTTAATTTCTTATCAAGCTTTCTTTTCTGAGCTTGCAATTTTCCCAGCATCTTTACCTGCTGCACATATACCGACTGAAACAATTTAAAAAACTCGTCAGTAAATGGGTTACCAGCCTCCTTAAATTTGTTTAGGTCTTCCAAAGTTTTCGTGAACCTCGTCTCCAGAACCCCATCTTGCAATCCCACCTCTTCTTCAAACTGCTTAACTGCAAGCTGAATGATTACCTGGCTGTTTCGAGCTCGCTTAAGGCAATTCCCTAGGGCAGTACAGAAGTCCAATGTCTGGATACTGCTCTCAAAATAATCCTCCACTAAGGAGAACAGTTCATCATTTTTCCAAATATCTTTCTTGCATTCTAAAATGACTTTGACTATATCTTGATTCATGTCAAGTAGGCATTCAGTAACTTCTCTGAGTGAGTCAAAAGACAAAGCTTGAACCTCAGCACCCGTAACAAGCGAGTTGATGACTCGGCTTGTGCGGCCATGAATGCTGGCATCAATGGATTGTAACTCCGGGTCGATGATACAGGC